CAACATCAGGTGGAAATACAATAACTGGTTCAACAGACAGGCAGGTATGAAGTGATCCATTCACTGCTGATTACATGTGGACTGTGCAATGCCACTAGACATAAACACATAAACTATTATTAAGTCTTTGATTGGCATTTAGAGTGATACACATAAGAATGAGAGTTAATGTATGTCAACTTCTTCATTATGAGGAACAAAACTTTTCGGTGTATATGCTTACTCCTTCATCAGGTGAATCACTTAGTGGGAACTTAACAACGGAAGCCAACAGTTTATAGATGCTCATAGATGATTTGCAATGGAGAAATGGAAGCCAACAGTCAACAGTCAATTAGCTCTTATAGGTGATTAGCAATTATTCGGTAATAGTAATGACTTATAAATATACTGCAAGACACTGTCCTCTCCTTTAGATACTTTCTGAGATGAATCTTTTCCGAAAATGTTGCCAACATACAAATCGATGTATCTGCAAATGGCAGCGTTTTCCGAGAACAAATATTGCCGCAAGGTCCCTATATGCTGAAAGAATTGATTACAGTACATGAAGAAAATGGTTTCCTTAATTTCCGTACAAATTCATATTCAGTAAAGAAAAGAAGGAAATTCATATTTTAAATACATTTTCACAATATTGCCGCAAGGTCCCTATATGCTGAAAGAATTGATTACAGTACATGAAGAAAATGGTTTCCTTAATTTCCGTACAAATTTATAATCAGTAAAGAAAAGAAGGAAATTCATATTTTTAATACATTTCCACACGTTCATGCTGTTTTCTAAAACGTTAGGTGGACATACTCTGAGGAACTCACATTAGTAAATAAAACCTGCAAAACACTTGTGATCATCATGTCATCTGCGCTAGCTGGGTACAATGTGTGAAGTCCATGTCTAATATAGTGCTAAAAGCGTCGTGTAAAGCCCGTTTTCTGAAATATTGCTACAAGCGACATAGAACCTTACTCATTTACTCATTCTGCACTAAAAGCAGAGAGTATGTTGTACTATTCCGACTTCATCATACATTTTTGTGTATGAATAACGATCAAACAGTGAAGAAGAACGCAAATGATTTTTTTTAAAAACCACATTGTGGAATCATTAGAAGGAAAATGTATGCAAATTTACAGCTTTGTCAGGGAATGTGTATAAAGATCCCAGAATACATTTTAAGATGGCGAATGACCATTGTCGGAGTGCAAAGGTGAAATATTATGTTTTATATGGTCGTAATTCATCGATGGTGACCTAATTTCATCTTATATTCCTAATTAGAAATTACGTTTGTCTTTTTGTTTCAATTCAATGTATTTCGCATTTGTTTCATAAAATGGTTTATAATAAATAAGATAATAAGTGCAATTAATATGAAACATTAAAACAAGCAATTGCACGAAAGAATATATATATGTATAACAATCCTAAATGATAATATCCCAAGTTACAATTAGTAATTACTTATTTGTAATTCATTGGAGCCGCCAAAAGCATCAAACATTCTGCATTACATTTTTACAACTTTGCTCATATAACAAACGTTATTTTAAACTGAATATATAAAATGTACATATTTTAAAAACAGCATTTGTTAAATCTACCATAAACGTTTCATATGCCATGCCTAATCGAGAACATTCTTGGGAATCAACTCGTATTTAACGAGGTTGTCTAACCGGTCAGATTCACTTTCTCCCTTTTTCTTTCTTGTTCTGTGCGTGTGCGTGTGCGTGTGCGTGCGCGTGCCTGCGTGTGCGTGTGCGTGCGTGTGTGTGTATGTCCAGTTGTGTATGTTAGTATTCTTGGTGGGGAAAATATAAGTGAAATGCTCACTCATCACATCAATAGAAAACAGGCTTGAGGCTGACATGGCATCAGTCTAGAATGCTGTAACGTAATCGAACAATAGTTAATGTGATATATCGGCTTCCATGACAACTGAACATACTGATAAGTGATATTGATAGGATGAAAAATTAACTGACACACATCTTTCTTACACATAATTATTAAACTAATGAAATAATATGTACAGTTTTCGAAATTTAGATATGTAAGATATATCGTTTCATTTGTCACTCTCCTGTTCTGTGCTTTTCCTTGAAGGGTGTCCAGTTGTTGTTTTTTGTCATTCATTCGAATTGTGGGATGGAGCAAAACATGTAATATCGTTCACTGATGTTTGTACCTCTAAGACTATTAAGATTTCCCCTGGTATATGAAAACAAGCACGAAATACGCTTTTGCTAGCATTTCTTTGTTTAAAAAGTAGTTCAAATCCCAAGGGACTTGTATTTTCAGACCAAGTAAAGGTATATTGCGTACTGTATAAAGGGGTATTTTAATCCATACAAATCAAAATCCACCTACCACCGACTCATTTGGTCCTAAACGTTGTCATCCACACGCGAGATTGACGACAGAAACCCGAATAACTAGCCTATCTGATTGATTGAATATGTTCTCATTATATCACAACAATTGATTCCTAACTCTTCGCCTATGATGACCATAACACTAATACCTACATCCCCAGTTCTGATATACACCACAATATATAACGTCAACGCCAGAACAAAAACAGGTTCGATTATCGATTGGGCGTAAAAGGCATAATAGAGATTAAAATTATGTGAATGGATCACTGAAAATCAGCGAAAAGTGTAAGAATGTAGCACCCGCTTCTCACACAATTTGCACAAAAAGGTATGTGTTTGTTGCCTGACGCCACACAGAAGTACGCCCTCCATTCAACAACGGTAAGAAAACAAACCCAACTATCACGTGATGGGCCACAAATCCAGTCTAAGATAACATCTTGCAGCTGTTGGATTTAACTCTGACACATTTTGATTGCAGGATAACATGTAGCATAGTGAATTAGACTATTCTCCTCACATTTCTGTATCTAGTGAGATGAAACAGATTGAAGAACTTGATAATACTTCACAATGGGTGTAACATGTAGTTCGAGACAAACGATATGCTCATGTTATAAGGGTAACGCTATTTTTCAGGGCATTATCATTTGCAGAAGCCCGAGGTCTTCCATTAACTGCCCGACGAAGGAGGGCTTCTGCAAATGATAATGCCCTGAAAAAAAGCGTTACCGTTATTATAGCTAAAATGGATAGAATTTTTTATCAAATAAAAAGAAACAACAATATCGGTTTTGAAACATTTACTGCAATCAACACGAATGTCACTGGCCCACTTTTACAAGTATGGAAACGTCATAGAACAAACCAGATGACGTCACTATTGAACGTGACGTCACCTATCCCTATCCTATGACGTCACCTAACAACGGGCTTCATAATGGCCCGTCGTCAAGCAATATGAGGGCATTATCAAGTTACAGTGGCCCGCTCATTTCTGATAACATGCGGGCAGTTTTATGATTATTCTATCCATTTTAGCTATAATATACTTTAGTGCCGAGGTTTTTTCTGTCACCGTCTCAATGTGACATCATTAAATCATATACAGTTCATGGTGTTAGGGTTTACGAGATCCCAGTGTCTACTCTAGCTCGGGGGTATTCTAAAATACAGCATTCAAACAAATACGTTCTTCTTGCATTCGTGTCTGTCAATTGCTGATAACGGGTATACAATTTAAAATTGTACAGTGAAACCCGTTAACACGGATGATATCAGTCCCAGGTAAATCGCCCGGATTATCGAATTTCCGAAATATGTTTTATCCAGACTCTATTATTTCGTTTCAGTGGTACATTCAGGGCAGCGTTATGATGTACATGGACTGTGATACTCCACTGAAGGTGTAAAATATTTTATAACCGCTTCCTCACATTAGGATATTTTGAGCAGGTCAGTTATCAGTTCCCAGCAGATAGCTGTAATAACCAACAACATAAATGTCAAGTAAGTAGTCTTACTTTGTCAGCATGTTTCTTATTTTTTTCTTTTTCTTTTTTAACTTATTCATTTGATTGTGTGATACATTTCTCAATTAGAAAGGGGCGATTGGGTAGCTGAATGGTTTCAGCGTTCAGTCGTCACGCCGGGCTCGATTCCCCACATGTGTACAATGTGTGAAGCCCATATCGGGTGTCCCCCGCCGTGATACTGCGTGAGACCATACTCTCTGACTCACACTGTTTCTAATCTATCTGGTAATATTCTCCTAAAATATTCAAGTAAACGTTTGTTGTCCTTGATATTATTAGTTACATGTCTATTTTTCTTGGTGGCAGTAATTATTTGACGAAAAAAATGTTACTAGCAGTAAATCCATCTTATCAGTATCATTTTCATTCACAACATGTTCAAATTGGGACCAAAAACTGCAGACCTGATCACATAAAAATATACATGCATTAAATCTCAAGAAAACATATAGTTTTATCCATTAATTCCCTCAAAGTGTAATCAATTCCCTCAAAGTGTAATCAATTCCCTCAAAGTGTACATAATTCTGTGTATAAATATGTATTTAAAATCTAGTAATTTGCATTCATTGTGCATTTTCTGATTCGAGGGAAGATATCGTTCCAATTGAAGTTGTGGTTAAGTACATATTCCCATTTTCCACACACTTATGTTGGAATTTTCTTGTTCAACAAGTCATCGTCATAGTCCAGGTGCGTATGATAATATACTGTTAAATATGTCACACACAGACAATGCGACCGCGATGCAACCGGTTGGCGACTGAATTCCTTTGCGACCGACTGGCGATCGCTGAGACCGGTGCAACTACTTCTGCCCATATTTGGAATTAGCGTATGATCGCCGATCAATCAGCGATAGGTTTTGCAACCAGTCAGTGATTGATCGGCAACTGTTCACCGTAGACACGGCGAAATGTTTGCAACTGGTTGAGACCGATCGGTGACTAGTTAGCGAATCTTCAGTGACTTGTTGCAACTGAAAGGGGACTTGTTGGTGATTAGCTGTCGATCGATCACCGATCACAACATTATGCATATAACAAGGGTGATTTTCTGAATCAAATCATTTCTTTGCAAGTTGTTAAGATGTAAAGAGCAGAACAGTTGCAGTTGCTCCGTCTGCAAAGAATATATCAAAATGCTGCAGTTGCTGCCATGATGATGTACAGAAGAATGCGAAGGACCAGGCGAAATCGGTATTGGCCACAGCTAGGAGAATTTGATGGCAGAGTTGGAGAGAAAAAGGCATGGTGACTTCGTGGGCTTCCTCAGAATGGAGCCCGTCAACACCTGACATCTCTGACTCTCCCTCCTCATCTGGTATCCGCCTCTTCTTTTGTTGAGATGTTGTTGGCACTGGCTCATTTGTAGCAGACCTGTGCACCACAGCAGTTGTCTCTATTGTATCTTCTACAATTTTTGGTTCTTATGTTTTCCTGCCTTTACGGACCATAGTGATGAATGGAAGATGTGAACTCTCTGATTATTATGACAAAATGATGCTGTAATGCACAGACAGGTCTTTTTATAGACGGTGACATGTTGCAAACCCAATAGCGAATGATTGACGCACGCTTGGGAACCATTTAGCAACTGATCGACAACCAGTCACCAATGAAGCGCCGGTCGATCACCGCCTCATCACTGATCAGTCACCGAGAGGTCGCCACAATGTTGCAAAGAGTCAACACCTATGTGTAGAAGAAACCGATGGCCGAACAGCGAAAACCAATCTGCGATTAAAATAGCACACCTTGGGGACCTCTAGGAGACCAATGAAGTCTCCGAGCGACCAAATCAGTCGCTGCCGGTCTTTTGTGCATGTTCAAAAGACTGGTTGCGACCGAATGGGTTTTGCGACCGCTCTGAAACCTTATGGCGACCTCAGTGAAACCTTTCAGAGACTCCTGAAACCTCATTGCGATTGTCAAATATTTTGGTCGCCAGGAGGTTGCATCGCGGTCGCATTGTCTGTGTGACTGAGGCAGTCAACATTATAAACTGAAAAACTATTGTTAATAACAGCGGATACTTATGACGTAAATCACGAAGAAATCGAAATCAGTATATTGATTATTATACTGTCCATTGTTGACAGGTGTTTAATTAATATGTATGTATTACTTATTCTATTCAGTATATGGCTGAGATACTACACGGTCTGATTTTAATGCTAACTCACAAACTCCTCCTATTGACCCTGACTTTTAAAACAGCGTCTCCAGATTAACGTGGTTTCATTGTAGCATGTGACCGTGAATAGGTGACATATTGCTGACCCGTAGATAGACACTCCTCACCAGTTACACCTGCGTTGGTAGTGGTCTACATAATTATAGGGTGATCGGTAGGTTTTGGGGACGTCATACCAGGTCACCGATTGTGTGTAGCAGCCGCCCTGATACATCTCAAAGGTTTTGCATGTGTAAGTGGAAGCCTGAAGACACATCGCCACACATTCTGGCACTGAGAAGGGGGTTTGATTCTCCTCATCATAATCGAATATTGCATGCTTTGCATACAAAGTGAAGTTGTCTCTGAATGACGCACATTCTGCAATGAATGGAAAGAGCTTATAGTTGTCATGGGGAAATGTAGTATGCATGTACAAGAAGCATTGGGTCGGAAGGGACGTATGCATGTAAAATAGTTTCGGGGGCATGAAGGCCCAGTTAAATAAGGCGCCTAAAAAAGCCATTCGTCTCGTAGGCGTGCCGGAACATCAAGGTTGTGAGCTCAATTCACCTCGATTGGTCTATCGCTATCATACCCGTTCTCGTGGGTTTCAACAGAGTCGTAAGCTTCTAAAACATGCATCCTTTTGAGGTCTCCGCCCACAGTAAACTGGCGCGCCTTGATAAAACTGTTCAAGGCGTCCTTTTTACTAACTCAATTCCTCCATTATTAAATTAGGTGTATTTAACTTAGAGCATTTTTGAATGTATAAAGGATAAATACACCAACTACATGCCCTTCGATCTCAAATAATTCGGGATATAATTTGTGAAGAGATATGTTAAGATTGCTAAAATCTCAATAGATATTTCTTTACATTTTGATAGCACTAATTGTACGCAGAAGTCACAATATATGTCAAACTTAAATCACTTTCTATATAACAGTGCCTATTAACTTGTTTATTTTACTAAGACAACGTACAAGAACGAAGGTGATCATACCACGTATATCTCTACAAAGATTTCCTGCCACGTCCAGGCCGTATCCAATGCTGCATGTGCACAGACCGCCAAAACATGTTGTTCCGGGAAATATACCACAGTCAGCCTCGATCTCACAGCTGACGTCATCTGAAAAAACACACAGGTACCGTATCGAAATAAATGCTGTTTTCATTGCTGACAATTCTAGACATCCCTTGTATTTCTATGTTAAACCGCCTCCTTGGTGAAGTATGTAGAACGTCTGCCCAGAGAGCGGAATGTCGGTGGTGGGTGGGGGGGGTGGGGGGGGGGGGGGGGAATGGGAATGGGGCTTAACGTCGCGTCCAAGATATATACACTTATTTAGCGACGTGCCCGCGCTTGTGTGTGTGTGTGGCTGCTTGTACTAGTCCGGACTGATGCCGATTTATAGTGCTAGCCCACTAGTACTGAGACACCATGCCGTAGTTTAATACCCCACCCAGACACAGTATACTGACTCCGAGCCGACCATCCCTTGTTTTAGCCCCTTAATGCCGAGAGCCAGTCAGCGTAACAATAAATACCATCTTTTAACGTCTTTTTGCAAAGCTGTAGTGAAGAGAGCTATGAGGAAGCCCTATTTCGCCTTGTGTCATATCATCCCGTGTTCTTTTCAAGTGAAAACATTACTTGACTTGGCATGAGTTGGTGACAGGTGCTAACTGCTATCATCACTATTTGACTGTGATTATTAAACACTTCCTTATGATATAGTCGGAATCGTACGATCGACTCTGCTTTAGCGGATATTTCTTATGATTATGGAAATGCTTTCGTCGCTTTTATTAACATAAACAGCTGACATAATAGTATAAATTTGTCCCCTTTTTATATGAAAATATTAGTGAAAAAAAGTTACCTTAACAGATTGGGTTTGGTGCCTCAAACATATAGGAAAACGTACATAGTTACTTATCCTCTGAATTTTCTATTAAAACAAGTAATTAGACCATTTAAAAAAGGAGTATTTCGTAAAAAAATAATTTGTGATTAAAGCGCACCTGGTCCATCGTTAGGCACCAATTATCTGTCAATCGAACGACCAAAAGCAATAGTAATACAAAGAAACATTTCTTCCAAAATTGTGATCATATTCTCAATAAGACTATGGATGTTGTGCTACCAGCTGTGCTGTGAGCATTGACGATTAGTAAACGTTGGTCCTGAAAGACAAAACGTCGACCCATACGCCTTGCAGACGTGCCAACAAAGGGTGTCGTCAGTTGTCCAATATTATGTCCAGTGACACTTCAGTGCACAATATAGTGTGGGGTTCGGTCAGTCATAGTGATGCCATCCCACACCATAACCGATCCACCGTCAAATCTGTCATTAGGTCTCAGGTTGGCATTGGCTTGACGTTTATTTCGACGTCGGCCGCCTCCGTGGTCTAGTGGTCAGGGTCTAATCTGATGTACATGCTTTTATCTGCTCAGTTTTCAAAAGCAGTTTGAGTTGAAATGGAAAATATCGATGCATTCATTATTCTTTAATTTTGTTAGCTGTGACACACGACAATCAAAATATTTTCAGGATTTAATGTGATGTACATGTCTGCTCTGTTTTCAAAAGCAGATTGAGTGGAAATGGAAAATATCGATAAACATGTCGAGATGTAATGCTAAATCTGAAGAGAACATACTTGCTGGTGTAGTGGTTGCTTCTGGTGTGCTTGTAGTTATTTCTGGTGTAGTTGCAGTTGTTTCTTGGGTAGTTGCTTCTGGTGTTGTAGTTGTTTCTTGAGTTGTAGTTGTTTCTGGGGTGGTTGTAGTTGGTTCTGAGGTAGTTGTTTCTGGTGTAGTTGTAGTCGTTTCTGGGGTAGTTGTTTCTGGTGTAGTTGTAGCTGTTTCTGGGGTAGTTGTAGTTGGTTCTTGGGTAGTTGTTTCTGGTGCAGTTGTAGTTGTTTCTGGGGTAGTTGTTTCTGGTGTAGTTGTAGCTGTTTCTGGGGTAGTTGTAGTTGGTTCTTGGGTAGTTGTTTCTGGTGTAGTGGTAGTTGGGTCTGGGGTAGTTGTTTCTGGTGTAGTTGTAGTTGGTTCTAGAGTAGTTGTTTCTGGTGTGGTTGTACTTTGATCATGGTTAGTTGCTTCTGGAGTTGTTGAGGGTGTTGGATTTCGGGAAGTAATGAGACTTGGAGTTGCCAGCATTGTAGTTGATCCCGATGAGGCAGTAGTCGCTGCCAATGCAGATACAGCTTGAACACAAATGTGCGATGTTGACTTCACTACAGGGATGCATAGCTGGTCACTTCTACAGGGACGACTTCCACATGTGTGAGTCTGAAAGTAAATTTGAAGACTACATTCATTAAATGAAAATATATATTTATAGCACTGAATATGAGATAGTAATGCACCCGATTCTTTCATATCTCTGGAGGTTATCTATATTGAAACTATGTAAGAATCGGGTGTGTCTTTAAATTCTTTGGAGTAGAATATTCACAATAAGTTTAGTCCATCCGATGATCTTGTGAATCAACGCAACGGCGATCTGACCCTTCAGATATATACTTGGTCTTTGATTGACTTTCTAGTGTTGGTGAATAAATATGAAAACGTACAAATTCTGATGTTTATCACAACATATATAATATTGGTATATGATATATTGTGATATGAATCAGATTGACGCTCACAACAATTGGTAATCGATAATAAATAGCACAGAGGTGATGGATAACAAATAGCACAAAATATGTGTATATACCTCTCATCATTTGATAAATATGTACGTTTGGCAAGATTCGACTAAACTGTTTCAAACAGTGAGAGAGAGAAACTGTTTAGTCGAATCATGCGACTTCGGGGTGACTGATCAAAAACTTCATAAAGCGTTTGTATTTGTGCAACGGCAGACTGTTTTTGACGTCAATTTTCAGTGTTTACTCAAATGCCAGCAACACCCTTCGTGCATACCATTGGATTAACCAGGGCCCTACCTACTACGTCCCGTAAAGGTCGGGGTTAGAATAGGCCTTCAGAAACCCATGCTTGCTTCCCATGCAGGCGACTATGTTTGTCATAAGTGGCGACTAACGGTATCAGGTGCTCAAGCTCGCTGACTTGGTTAATGCATGTCATCATATTCCCATTGCTTGGGTCGATACTCATGATATCGATCACTGGAATATCCCGTCCAGACTATTTTCTGATCGCCGTCATACAGCACGAATACTGCCGAGTGCTGTGTTAAAGAACAAACAAACAAACCTATTTACTACCTAAGTACATGTATCCATTGATTTCGCAATCTCCATCAGACCATGTTTGTATTTCAGGAAATGTAAATCAAGCAAACATCTTAACTGCGACGCTAAAAAAACCTTATTGATTATTCACACCGGTCGATCATTCGTTTATTTCTTAGCAATTTATTAACCAGTTATAAAAGTAATTTATCAGTAAAAAAAAGAATTAAACAACTACCAAGTCAGATTGAGTCACTGAGTGTGACTTTCTTTTCGTCTTTATCAACCAGCCACAGTGCGGAGGCGGACGCCAAGAAGGTTGTGCACAATGTGTATCCAAATAGGGGATCGAACACAGATGAGTCAATCTTTCCTTTTTAGTACGATATTGATATAAACCGTGGGCTAGATATACAGTCTAACTAAAGTCACTTAAAAAAGCCACAGTAGCTGTTTAAGAAAAACACGTTTTCATCAGTGAACGAAGATGTTTCAGAGCCACACACTGGAATGAATGTTTTTTTCTGCTTTCCCATTTCAAAGTATCTGTATTAGGTATCGGGTCACATTTTTCAGAGTTTGATTGAAAAATAGGATCAATATCGTAAGGCTATATGCGCTTAATTTTGAATGCTGTCCATGTCCATTAAAGGTGCATTTCTCAGGTAAATACGATCCTTATTGCTTCTAGCACAGTTTTGGTTATATTCATTGACGTAATATTTGTTTTAGATTTAATTGAATGGAATACATCAATAAATAATTTCGTTCTATTAAGAGTATTGCTATATCAAAAGGTTGGAGGATAAATCTTTATTTTCTACGAATTATTATTCTTAATCACTTAATTTAATTGAAGTTTGAATCTTCTGGATATTTCACATTTAGACATTTTTTTAGGGAGCTTCATAGCACAGGAAAATAATAGTCTTGTATCTGACTGAAACTCTTTCGGCGAAGTGGCGATGTCGTTCTTGTTTTCTTCACAAGGAAAACAATTATGTCTATTGGAATATTGCCATGTTATAGTAACGCATGCATGTAATATTTGGATCGTTCTCATAATTACAGAATTCGGTATTTCGATGTTCCTTTCGTCAAAAACATGTTAATAATAGTATAAAAAAATAATGAGTTAATAAGTCAGGTTCGGCTTTTAATTCGCCCAAGAAAATTGAATACAACTAAAGTGAGATTAAAATCATTGAATAATACATCCTCTGTTGTCATTAAAGCACTGATATAGTTCTTTAATTATTCAAATACAAGTATTAACATGAAAACGCATCTAAACCAACGAAAGTACTTTGATGTCAATCGACAATTTAAGTAATTATTGATCCTATTAAACCGCCTTTCATGTGTGCTCACGTTGATGATAAATCGAACTCGTACTAACACATTTGAACTTATTCTGTTGTGCAGACAAGGGTTAAAGTTTAAGTTGGAAAGTTTTATGTAGTAGTCACACAATAAGAACGCTGATGTGACACTTAAATTGTCTGACAACTACTGCAGGTATTAAATTCAAGCAATTGACAGTAACGATATATTGACAGTGACGATTTTTCATGATGTTCAGCTTAATGCAGTAGGTGTTAGTGAAGTTTTTCAGCTCATGTGCAAATATTCCAGCAATGACAAGACGCCTGGCAAATGGAACACCAGACATGGGTTTCCTTTATTGGGAATCGAACTCCGTTCTGCGGCGAGACGAGCTAAGACTTGAACTACCAAGACCGAATCCGTGGCCTAGGGGTGGAGGCTCCGCTCGTGGTCGGTGGCACTATCCCCGGCCGCGTCATACCAAGAAACGTAAAAAGATGGTAATTGTTGTTAACCAGCCTGGCGCTCGGCATTAAAGGGGTTAAAGCAAGGACTGGTTGGCTTAGAGTCAGTATACTGAGCGCCAGTGGGTTATTTATGTGAAACTAAATATCAAAATGAATAAGACGTAAAAAGCCATGTGATCAGCCACACTGTAACAAATGTGTTCTCATTCTTATTCTAAAAACAAATCAATCCAATATTTTAAACGCCTTACCAGTCCTTAACATGTTTAGAGATGTTTTAATTTAACTTTTCATGATCTTAACCTATATGGAACAAAAACAAAGAATATTTAGATTCACGATTGGCTTCTGTGGCAGTTTTATCAACACTTTTACCTTGTATGTACCATAAGTGTCGGAAGATGTTCAGATCTGACATTTTCGTTGAAGACAACATACCAAGATACACATCCACTACACGTTCTACTGGGAGCTGACCGCCGCCGCTGTCTAGTGTTTGAGCTTCCGCCCTGTGAGCGAAGGTCGGGGGGTTCGATCCCCGGCCGCGTCATACTAAAAGACGTTAAAAGATGGTACTTGTTGTTACCCTGCCTGGCGCTCGGCATTAAGGGGCTAACACAAGGACTGGTCGGCTCGGAGTATACTGAGCCTGAGTGGGGTATTCCTGTTAAACTGCGACATGTAATCTCAGTGTGCTTGCACTATATAATCGGCACTTGTTCGGACTAGTACAAGCACACACACACATACAGTGCATGCTCGTCGCTATATAAGTGCAATAATCTTGGACGCGACATTAAATCCCTTTTCATTTGACCTCACCCTCTACTGGGAACTAATTTTTACTGATCACGTATACATTCCTGGCTTGTATGCAAATACCATAACTTCAGTTCCATTAAATAAAACGATGTCTCCATATATAAATGGGCGCAGTATTAAGATAATAATTTTGGTGATGTTTCATCACAGAATAAGGAGCAACGCGGGAACCAGTCCTAACCGCCACTTTGATGAAATGGTTTAAACAGAACCTGCAAAGGATGATGCTGAAAAATATATTTTGATTAAAATGTCAAACATACTTTGCGAATGACCATCGTGAACATGACCTTGACCATATATGTAGGTGAGAGTCCCGCCCCAAAACCGACATTAACAAAGTTTCATTGACCTACAGTTAATGCTTCTTGAGTTATTGTTCTGGTGTTCTCCTTTTCTTGCTATGACCTTCAGGATGACTTTGACCCTTGACATGATTGCCTAATGTTTCAAAAGAATTGATTATGGTTGTAAAGGCGATATATGTGAGATAATATCTATTAGACATGCATGTACCAAAGGGCGGCGACAAGACTTTAGAACTCCGTGAGCTTGCCTTATTACTGGAACGTAGTTATGTCTCCATTACATGGATTTAAATATGAACAGCGTATGTAAATTAGTCCACGAAGAAAGCACTTCTTACTTCGGAGAATATCGATAATACAACCGGTATGCCACAGCCTTGGTCTAATTTGTACACGTATGTTCATATTTTTACATTCGTCTTATAATTCGTGTTCTATGGAAAACCTTAAAGCAAGAAACGAGTGTCTTTTTAGGGATTACAACACTCAAGTGAATGAGTGAATGTTGTTTACGCCACAGCCTGCAAATATTTCTGCAAATAATTGAACCTCGACCAGGCGAATCTAAAAGTAAAGTACGGTGACACGCGAAAAGCCAAGTCAGCCTGGCCTGCCTAGGCCACATGTGAACTGCTTGAACTTGAGCAAAACATAAGTAATGGAATCAACAATACAAAGTGGTTATCTCTAAAATTCTACAAAGTTGTTTACATAATGCAGGACCCGTGAAGATCCGGGGTAGAATAGGTCTTCAGCAACCCGTGATTGCCGTAAAAGACGACTACGTATACGTTTGTCGTAAGAGGCGACAAACGAGATCGGGTGGTCAGGCTCGCTGACTTGGTTGATGCATGTCATCGTATCCCAATTGCGTAGATCGATGCTCATATTTTCAATCACAGGATTGTCTGCTCCGGACTCGATTATTTATAGACCGCCGTTATACAACTCGAATATTGATGCGTACGTCGAAAAACAACAAACAAACAAACATAGTGCAGACAATAATGACAATAACAACCATCCTCTGCCGATGTGTAAAACACTTTTGGATTGTCAGCTTTGTCAGTTATGCACTATGCATGGTCATAATGCAAATAGCAAATTGAGGTTGAATTGAATAATAAGGCTGTTCGTATACCTATGAAACAGACCACTATCATGTATAAATGTGTTGATATTTTTATTCCAACATCGTCCAGAAGGTGAGTGTCTATGACAGCATCAAACAGATCATTTAGTCTTCATGAGTGGTTTCCTCAACTACGCGCTTATGCCGTATATTGAAGACTTCATATACCACCATTATACCCCTGGGAATGTTTTATGACATATGATTGGGTGACATTGAAGGTCAAGGTCATAAGAGTTAACTATATCTAAACGCCGAAAAGGCTTTATATAGAAAAATGTGTTAGCGGCTTGGTGGTGTAAAACGGCTTTAAAACAAACCAAAATATTATTTGTATAGATCTATTCTGTACGTTTGTGTAGCTATATCTAGTATGGCTTTAGAATCAGGAGTAACAGTGCAGTGTCTTACCTGTTGTTGAATCGGTTCAACTGGCATGTACACGTTGTTTGGTGAAACTTGCAAATTACCAACACCGACATGCTGCATGTTGAGTTGACATTCTCTGACAGAGGATAACCAGTTGATCGATGAACAGATCGAGGAATAGATGCACAATTGGTGACACTGCTGGAATGTCGTTTTACTGAATACGTGAAACACGGATCCTTGTAAAATCATGTTTTGTTCACCATAGTTTGAAAGTCCACTGAATTGCGCACATGAGTACAACTTCGCAAACAAGCCTATCAAAAAGGGTAAATATGTCGAACTCATTTTCCTAAATTCTTGCTTCAATACTGACTTCAGATGACTGTGTGACTTTACTGTAGGACGTCTGTATTGCTTTTACTGAAATCGTATTGGTTTGATGCTCGTAGAGTATATGATTAACAATTCACGTAGCTTGGATACAGTACAAACTTTTGAAGTAAGCTGATGCATAAACATGATTCATAGATTCGTAGAAAAGGAATGGTCAATCAATATAACCTATGGCAACCGTGTTTTCTTGTGACAGTGAAATGTAAAGTTCAACTTTCTATTATTGATATAATTGCTATTTGGGAATCATTGCTCACTGAAGCTGCACGGAAATCAATGTCTTGCAAGATATGTAATCTGTCAGAAGTACATAACATTACTTAAATTCGCTGAAATCTTTCTGTGTGCCAATAAACACGATAAAGCAATTTCAAAAATCATAAGAAATAACTGCTAAAAGCAGAGTCGATTGTAAGATACCGACTATATCATGAGCGTGTGTTTATAAATCACTATCAAATAGTGAATGATATCAAAGAGCCTGCTGCTCATTGGTCTGAATCCCATATACGTCCTTATTATGATCCTAGGTCTTCCAGCACATACTCGTCCTCAATGATTTCGCAAACATTGTAAACGTCCTGTGCAACATAAGGATTTCCTTAGATAAGACAATGAAGTGAAAGGTCATCTATCAATTCGTGATGTCGAGTCTGTCCTTTCTGTGAACATTTGAGGAATCAGTATTTTAGCGTTGTGAAAGGACATTTTTACGTTATAAGTATCAAGAAAAACCAACCTGCATGGAAACTGGAGGCATACATATCTTTTGGTTTCAATATGAGAAAACAATGAATTGAAAACAACTAAGAAGTGAATCAGTAGCATGTGTTGACAACTTCTATCGATGTCGTTCTTTCATGGGCCCATAATCTTAAACTTAGAGGCAATGCTCTGTGCCAAGTACGATGAAACGTGAATGTAAGTAAAATATATTTACATGTTCACATGTACATAACAAAGTTGGGGCGGCGGGAAACCTAGTGGTTAAAGCGTTCGCTCGTCTCGCCGAAAACCCGGGTTCGATTCCCGACAAGCGTACAATGTGTGAAGCCCATTTCTGGTGTCCCCCGCCGTGATATTGCTGGAATATTCCTAAAAGTGGCATAAAACCATACTCACTCACTCACTCAAAACAAAGTATACATAACACAAGAAAATCACTGAGTGTACCATTGTCTGATTATAATGTAATTACCAGGTGATATAAAAAGTGTGATAATGACAAGTGAAACCACAATATTAAAGGTTTTTACATGAAACTCCAAATCCTATGTTGCCATAATATATATCTTTAATTATACTATTTGTTGTTGTTTTTAGAACTGATTATTGTCCAAATTATATACTCTCCCGAAAGCATACCTTCATAATTCTTTCCATGCAAGACTGACAAATAAACTGTGTAATATTGCTAATCAACTCGTATGCATCCCAAATGCGTTCACACCCTCCATGCAGGAGGAAGTTCAGATAAATTTATTCACTCAAAACCAACATAAAAGTACATATGTACATATACTCTTCAAAACAGGAAACGCAATAAAGATATTTTGGGCCATAAAAGTAAATTTGGCGGACAAAGAGGTGCAAAATGAATAGGTGTAATGTGTTATGGTGTCTGTGACACATTTCCTGGATCAAAATGGTCACAATAAGGACATGCAAACCATTAGTCGAGAAACACGTACGATTCGGAAAAACGCAACCAGTGCATTAACAAAAGGGACATGGAGCTGCATGCACTGCATGTACAGTAGCACTATGAACGGTATTAAAGTGCAGGGTGTTTGATTGCCTGGCATCTGCGTCAATCGAACAGTGACAGTTCAACAACATCCCAAGATTAACAGAAGTGCAAAGAAACAACGTCACAGGCCGCTTGCAGGCAGGGGAATCCCGATCAGCTGTAGCCAGGGTTTTCAATATAGCGCCCAGCACCATCACAAGGCTATGGGAATGGTTTCAACAGCATGGGTCAACACGTGATCGGCCTAGGTCGGGACGACCAAGAGTAACCAACCCCGCCCAAGATCGCTACATCCGACTGCGCCACCTACGTGAAAAGACGACAACAGCCACTTCAACCGCATCCCAAACACCCGCACTGCGCAGAATCCTCGACCAGACCGTACGAAACCGTTTAAGAGCAGCAGGTCTACGAGGAGAACGTCCTGTTCGACGAGTCACACTGAGTCCACAACATCGTCAACAACGAGTGCATTGGTGTCGTCAACACAGGATATGGCCTCAACTGCGATGGAGAGATGTCTGGTTCTTGACGAATCAATATTTCTCCTCCGTCGAGGGGTTAGCCTAGTGGTTAAAGCGTTCGTCGTCACGCCGAAGACCAGGGTTCGATTCCCGACATGGGTACAATGTGTGAAGCCCATTTCTGGTATCCCCCCACCGTGATATATCCTGGAATATTGCTAAAAGCGGCGTAAAACCATACTCACTCACTCACTCACTCACTCTTCCATGGGTAGGAGATGTCAGGCCGCTATCGATTCCAACAGGGGACATACGCGTTATTGATGGTAGCTGACCTTCACCTTGGACTTTTCCTATGTACCGATAACTGAGATGACTACAATCACCACGTGTTCTCACAACAATATTTTGGCTCAATACCTTGGAATTGTACGGTTCCTAGTATAAATATGTTGTCCTACCTCACACAAATCTGGCTTTTTGTTTCTTTTTTTGAAGAGTATAATTAACATCGGACACACAGAATAATTACGGTGTACAAACAGTGCATATTGAAATTAGCATCTCTAGTTTTAGAACTCATTCATTGGTACAGTGGTACATTTACATAAGTTTTTAGTGCTGAAATTTATATGGCCATTTTTATTAAATTGACGGGTAATACAGTACACACACATTTCAGTATGCTTCTTTATACCGTTGTCAAGCACAACTGTGTCTTGCATGACAACATATATAGATCTATTCCGAATGGTCGCTGTTACAGTATAATACATATGTTGTTATCCATTATAACGTGTGTCTACTTGGTTACTTGTGCTGTTGTTGGAGAATAGTCTTGCCAATTTATTGTTATTGGAAAACTTGAGGTAATAATCAGGGATGTACAAACCCCTCCTCTCCTTAATCACGAATACCACTTAACGCAAATAAAAAAAGCAATGAGAAAAGGGTGCGAATTGAGGTTAAATTACTGGGGGGAAAATACAATACATAAAGATTTGTTTATGTTTTGAACACGATTCTATTTCGTCAGGCTTACCACACTGCTGAGTCCCGAAGACCCTCCAAATAGACCCCCCGAATCCCGCGTACGAAAAGGTGGTTGGCAGCCACATGTTGTGAAACACTGCTTCGGCAACCTCCACGTGCAGTCTTTCCGTATCATCCAGTCGGTAAGAGAGGAATTTTTTATTGTTTCCGACTTTTTAAATTACAAAACATCTTCCCCAGGTCCTTAATACTGGCAGAATACATAGTACAGGTTCTATATAAGATTTCTATTTAAGACAGGATCGACCTCGCTTTATTTTCAAGAGACGGTTCTCTTCAGCCAATATCATCTTTGTCAATAAGTAACAGCAACAAGAACCATTTACAAAATCATACGAAATCATTGTACGGTTCCGACTATATCATTAGCTTGTGTTAACATGAATCGATATGAAATAGTGATGATACCAGGTGTTCGCGAAAAGGTAAGCGCATCCTGTCCTTTCGGTTGTACCATTCACAAACACATGCAACCCGTGAATATCCGGGTTAGAATTGGTCTTCAGCACCCATGGTTGTCGTTAGAGGTACTTGTCGAAAGAGGCGACTAACGGCATCTGGCTCGCTAACTCGGGGTCGCTATGTCAAGCTCGCTGATTTAATTGCTGCATGTCATCGTATGAAATTGCGTACATCGATGTTCATGATGTCAGTCACTGGATTGTCCCGTCCAGGCTTGATTATTCACAGAGCGTCGGAATATGTTGAGTGCGGCTTTAAACAACAAACAAACACAATCATATTGTTTGCGTCCACACGAAAGCTTTCCATTTTATTTATACGTATATCGATTCACAAGCATGAAGGATCAGTCGATAACATACCCCATTGTGATGTATATGAGTATTTGTGCAGGTAGATCAATTATCAATAATAAACCAACGCTTGCCGTTGCCGTGACAAGGTATGGATTATATTCTTCCCATGGACACTTACTTCTTTTTAAGGGGCGGTCGTGTAGCCTCGTGGTTAAAGCGTTCGCTCGTCACGCCGAAGACATGGGTACAATGTGTGAAGCCCATTTCTGGTGGCCCCCGCCGTGATATTGCTGGAATATTGCTAAAAGCGGCGAAGAAAACATACTCACTCACTCACTCATAATTTGGATCAGTTTGTGAGAAATTGTACATCACTGACTGAGTCATTGTGGTTATACTATAATCATTTCGCGCAACTCTGCGAGCATGTCTTCATGTCTTCCGATGGCGAAGGGCTATCGTCAGAAACTGGATTTATATGGGAAAACCGTATCCGGCTTCTTACTTGTAGAAGGTATTCCGTCTGCCTTATTTCGGCCAGGACTCCCAGATTTATGTTGTGGATCACTTTTGTCTTTATTTCTCTCTTTCCCTGCCTAAGAGGGAGACGAACGATGGCACTATACACTATTTTGTAGATTACATAATAGGTACCTTCTGAGTCGCCACAATTCGTTGGGAAGAAACCTCTAATTGTGACTTCGAAACCCGGTTCGCGCTGATTATGTTCTAAGTTTGTCAGCACAATACCTGAGCTCAGGGGTTTCACCAAACTGGTAAGCGTCTGAGACCTGTAACCCTTCAGGCCTTCCTCCCACAGTAAGCTGGCACGCCGAGATACAACTGGAATACTGTTCAAAGCGGCGTTAAACCTAAACTCACTCCCTCATAGGTTTGACAAAAATAGCCCATATTCCCGGGTATCTTTACATTTACTCTGCAAAAAAAGAAACGCAAAAGTGATTTTAGATATATATTTCATATAGCATATCATTAATCAACAGATGGCGATCGATTGTTCAAAATTGGTACACATGATTTTTATTAACCCAGGTTCCCTGTGGCACACATCATTTGCAAGGAGAAGGTCATCTGTTCTTAATATCTTGTATGGCCTCCACTGGAGTCTAACACAGACTGGCATTATCGTCCGATGGAAGCAATCATACCCTGATTTGTGGTATGGGGAATGTTCACCCACTCTGCTTGCAGTACTTGTACACTGTCAGAGGTTCTATTGTCTGAACACACGACGTCTTCCATCCGCACGGCGACGCATGAAACGTGACTCGTCACTTAACCAAACTTGTCTCCGTCGCAGTTGTGGCCACACTGTCTGTGCTGATATCCTACGCAATCCTGGTATTGCCGTAGTTGTATAGGTGGCCGTGTTGGTTCTTTCAGGCCAAAATTCTGCAGTACCCCTTTCCAAACAAATTAATTCCAATCCTTGCAGAAATGACCAACTCATTTTTTATATTAATTTTCTATGGATGTCGGCAACACTGTCAGATATTTTCGTGTTTTTGCAGAGAAGGTGCTTCGATCGATTTAGATGTCAATTGTGTTCCGCTCTTTAACGTTCATGTAAAACGGTGACGTCAATAGTGAGCAATATTTACAATCAGCGACTGAACTATTTAGTACATAAATAGTTAATCTGAGAGTAACCTTCAGCTGATGATGGAACTCAACATTCAAGCATATTCTTCTCTTTAGGGAATCATACCATAAACGATTCATTTATTAAAGCAAATGTCTTTCAAACATTTTGACATTACACATAAGTGATTTTCATCCAACGTCTATTGATCATGAAGACTGCAGCACGCGTTCCGGCGTGTCTTGAAGACAATGGGACATGCATGATATTGAATGTGGTCATTTCACTCTCAACAATATTGTGACTGTAAACTGACAATATTCCCCCATGTCTCCGAAGTCGTTGTAGTTCCTGTATTTTCGCTGCTATTGCCTAATAACTGTGTCGTTGCTGTCTATTTGCATATTTCATGATCACAAAGGCTTCGCTTTGGAATAAATTCTTGTCCGATATATGATTAAGTATAGTTTCATTTGATTGTCAGTGTAGAAATTACTATTGACAGCACATTATCAACAGTAACACGTAAGCTCTGCTGCTGGTGGTGCTTTAATGCAGTATTTGTGATCAGATTGGGAATACGCCGTCTACAACGTGATGGACGCCGAAGCTCTACTGGCATGCTTTCAACTGGCAGGATGCAGCGAGAGGTTGCCAAACGTTCAACGTGTCTCACTCTTTGTACACGATCGGGGAAATGACCGATCGCCGAACGTCAACGTAAGGAAACATGACATTTTTGGTAGTGGGTCTGTAATGTTACTGGGCGAGATCATAATGACTGCCAGAACTCCACTGTAGGTTGTCCATGGAAGGACTAATGAACAAAACTACCGAGACAACACTAGCGCTAAAGGTTGTGTTGCCAGCGTGCTGTGTCTTTCACGACGATAACGCACGTGTCAACCGTGCACGTATCGTAACTGACTACCCCCAGCAGCAAGATACCTCCCCCAACATGATCAGGGGACGTGTACGCCGACGTCAAAGGCCACCCGCTACGTTAGCCTATTTGGGCTAGGCGCTGCACAAAGGAGTGGGCAAGACTTCCTCAAATTGTCATTGGCAGACTGATTCGGACCATGTCACTACGTATAAACAAACCAATCCTTGATCATAGCTAGCCAACATGTTCTGTTGATTGACATGTAACTTAGTCTTATACCTATTGTATTCCTGCAATCATCTGTTAGTTTCGAATATCCCGTAGAGTATATTATGATACGTATGATACTTCCTCATCACTCTCCTGCTTCAAAAAACCCATCAAGACCCACCTGTTCAAAAAACACTCTCACTGACTATAAGTTTCATTAAGGCGCACAGAGCACTTATGCACAGTGAATGCTGTGCTATACAAATGCATAAATTATTATTATTATTATTATTATTATTATTATTATTATCCGTCACATGTACCTTGGAGCAATTCTGCATAAAAACTTTATTTTGAGCCAGATTCGAATCACAAGCTGTTCACAAAACGCCTGAGGAATTTTCACATGAGTGAGAGAAATGATGTTCAATGTAATGGATCTATGACAATACAATATGATATGGAGGATGCGCAACGTTGGCATGGCAACATTGTACACATTATTTGTTTACTTTAATTAACTTTTAACAGAACAACATCTCTTCAATAGATCGTTGCTGTGTGTCATCAACGCCACTATAATAAGCGCGCAGTTTTACAAAGACACAAGCACAACAGACACAATCATAGGCACGCAGTCTCATTCAGACACATTACATACAGACAGTCTCATCGGTACCAGATTTTGTTTAGATACAGTCACATTCTGACAATTCCAGTGCACTCAGGCACTTACATTCAGTACATACAAACAAACCACAGACGTAGTTTTAATCAGACACCTACAATGAACATAGACAAAAACTATCATAAACACACACTTGTATTCAGGCACAATTACATACAGCCCACATGCGTACACAAAGGGTACAAAAGCAGCCATGTTCTTCATGTGCTGGCACTAAATGTCCGTATGTAAAATCTCGTTATGCCTCCATTACCCTCCCAAAACTTTTTTTTATCTAATAAGTAGGGATCTGGGAATATTAAGTAATTATTGTTTGCGTTTATAACATACATGTACGTCCGGTTATCAACTGTGGGTTCCTCAGGATCTTAGAGAGAGGCAAGGTAATGTAAGCTAATGTGGGTTTGCAGTATGCGTGTATGTCACAATGGTAATTGTATCACACTGTAAATGATAGGTGGTAGACAATGGTTTACGGGCCTTCTAGAAAAAGGAGAGATGGGGGGATGCCTTTGTTTTTGCATTTTTCTAGTTAACTTTGAAAGGTCAGGATTTTTTAATAACCGTTTGTACAATTAAAGTCATCACTATCAATGGTTTCTTTTCACATCTCACTTGATACCTTTTACAAAAATGACAGGTGAATACTATTGTTTCTTGTGTTTCATGTCTTGGCATGGCATGTTCCTGGTTCCTAATCCTATACATTCGTGGGAGGTGGGAACTGTATGCACAGTGGGAGCAATTCGTTCAGTAGAGTGAAAGGATTTGACGAAATAGCGGCCTTTGTCATTTCAGGGTGATGTGTGTGTGTGTGTGTGTGTGGGGGGGGGGGGGGGGGGGGGATGAAGGTGAAATGGGCCATGAAACCAGCCATGTTCTTCATATGCTGGCACTAACTGTCCGTATGTAAAATCTCGTTATACCTCCATTACCCTATTTTGTTCTAATAAGTAGGGATCCGGGAATAATAAGTACATATTGTTTGACCTTTGCAGGTTTTGCTTAAACCATTTCATCAAAGTGGCGGTTCGGACTGGTTCCCGCTTTGCTCCTTATTCTGTGATGAAACCTCACCAAGATTATTCTCTTTATACTGTGTTCATTTTATATATGGAGACATCGTTGTATTTAATGGAACTGAAGTTATGGTGTTTGCATACAAGCTAGGAATGTATACAGAATCAGTAAAAAATAGTTGAGGGTGAGGTGAGATGAAATGGGGTTTTATGTCGCGTCAAAGATCATTGCACTTATATATTGACGTGCATGCACTGTGTGTGTGGCTGTTTGTACTAGTCTGGACTAATGCTGAAGTGCTAGCCCACTGAGATACCATGCCGCAGTTTAATATGAATACCCCACTCAGACACAGCATACTGACTCAGAGCCGACCGGTCCTTGTGTTAGCCCCTTAATGCCGAGCGCCAGGCAGGGTAAAAACAAGTACCATCTTTTAACGTCTTTTGGTATGACATAATATGTTATGCGTCAAAATCATTTCCTGGGGCAATAAAAAAGGTAAACAAATATGAAAATAAGTTCTGATCATAATGGTATGGTAATCTTAGGCAACATGAGAATATCAAGCCAAACGTCATGGGAAACTCACTTAAGCTGTGTTGTTCCACAAGGACAACGCATCCTTGCAAACATCGTCCAAGGCGCTGCTGAAAAAAAATGTTTGCTGTTTATTTATGAAGACCCGAGTTAGATCCCCTTCTTGAATATTATATATACACGCCATTCCTGTTGTCCCCCGTCGTGAATTGGCTGGACTATCGCCAAACGCGGCTAAAAACCCAACTCACTATCTCACTCGTTTGTCTTCAGAGGATAGCTAAAGTACAGGTGGCATAATAAAAGTAAAATGTATTGAAAGATTTGTATATCTATGTAATATGAAGCAAATTTATTTGAACGGGATATAACACTTTTTCAGAGGAACACGCAAGTTGATATGGAATTATATCCCATGATAATGTTAATGTACAACAACTAAGAATGACCAAATTGCAATGAAACCCCATCCAGACTAGCGGAGTTTGATTGTATTGAACAATTTTCAGGTTCAGTTTGACGCACCGATCAGTTGATATCTTAAGCGTTTCGTGTTCGGGTGAATTAATTACATAATGCCGCCGACGGCTACCTACTTTCGCCAGTTTTTGCCATAACTGAAATCCGTTGGACTCGACGGGAAGAAATATTACAAAATATATTTTGGCTGTGTGAGGAGTCGTGACATCCCTTTGACTCTGTATGTACCGTTATTATACCTCAAAGTGAGACTTGCCAATCAGAGAACAAATCTGCTAGCCCCACATTAGCCCGTATACCGTCAGTAAAAATCCAAGATGGTTGGTACTGACCTAATATGAGACCGTGTACCGTCAGTAACCGCCATCTTTGATTTTCAAACACCCACCTCACATATTTCACATCGAAATTCTGGTACCGAAATTCGTTAATTGACACTGTTTTGTGTTTTACTATCATTAATTGTGATGTGCAAGGACATTAATCAGTTTTTTTAGATCACGTTCGTGACTTTATTAATAAAGATTATAGTTAAAATATTCAACAAGGTTTGGTCTCTAAGGTTTGAAGAGTAGTCTCCCTTTTACCCTTCACGTCAACGTACGGTTTTAAGTATCAAGTTTTCATTTTGACATGCCACGTGCGATATGGATACAAGAATGTGTAAACTTTTCGGCATAACAAATTCGTTATGGTGTCTTTAGTTGCCGTATACGGTGTCATATTAGGTTAACGCCTCGCCCAATATGTTTTCTGCTAACCTAATATGACACCGTATACGGCAACTAGAAACACCATATCTAATAGTATGTATGTGTCCCCAGCCATGATGTAACACTGCATGCAGCAGGGTGAAATCTTATTTCGGCCATTATACATACATTTTACAGGCCTTATGTATTGTGTGTCATCGTACCAAGACGCGTGGGACCTTGCTCATAATTTCACTCACTGGTTTGTCTGGACCAGACTCGATGTACCGTTACATAGCTTGAATATTGAGTGATGTGAGTGAGTGAGGTATTACGACGTTTTTAGCAATATTCCAGCATTATCACGGCGGGGGACACCACCAATGGGCTTCATACATTGTACTCATGTCGTGAATCGACCCCGGGTCATCGTCGTGACGAGCGGATGCTTAACCACTAGGCTAAACGACCGCCCATGTTGCGATAAAGAACAAGCAAACAAAATCAACCAACATCCTTGTTTTGTCATAACCGTCTCTGTGTTCGTATATTTCACCGCATTAGTTTGAACTAGGCTCCCACTTTAAGTTGACCCGCTGTTTTATATAAGTGAGATAACACTTTCAAAGCGGCGTTAAATCCAGCTCACAAAAAAATCCTGCCAATTTGACATAATGGTAGAAAATAGGCACATTAGCCATGTCCGGTGGTTAATAATGGCGTAATCAGAACGTAACCCGCTTGATCCGTGTTGTTCAGGAAACATCGTCAGTTGTGATGGCTTCCACAGTGTTGGCGCTGCAGCTAGCTCTACTTCTGCCATTCGTTCACGGGGGTAAGTTAGTCTGTCTTACAGACCCTGATACAAACATATATCAAATACAGCCCATGCAAGTCCATAATGTTTGGCAAGTTTAGATTACTGCAGTATCTGAAAATGAAGAGAGTCACTAGGCTCCCTTTTATTATGTTTTTATTAAGACAACTGAACAACTGTTTTTCTGTACGATATGTTCATTTCAGAGACTAGATGTTTGTCTAGGAGTAAGTTTCAGTTTCTTATGTTCTGTAAAAGTGCGTCGGTACAATGATGATAAGATACGATGGAAGTCCATAATGAAAGACTATTTTACATACTGAACGAAACAAGCTTGGGATTATGAGTATTTCGGGGTAAGTTTTTCCAGTGAAGAAATAAAAAATATCCCAAATTATTCATGATCCCTGACATGTTTTGTTCAGATTCTATACAAACATAAGTGATGTGTATAAATATTTATCATCCAAAACTGGCTCCCACCGGAGATATCGCTTGGATGAGATCAAGCGATATCTACACTGTAGATATCGCTGCAATGAAATTACATCACAATGCTTTGCAGACCATTGTGACGTCACTGGTTATCATGACGTCACAATCAAATGACATCGCTAATGGCTCTGCTTCTGAAGCTGTTTGGAGTACTTTTTACACTGAAGACTAAATTACTGTCTACAAATTGAAAAGTTGAAAGAATGATGTTGGATGATAAATAAAATCTCACCCTCGTGTCTTTTGATATCAAATATATCAACTCTCGTTGATAAAAGTGGAAAAAATCCTCGGCAAGCCTCGGAATTTTTCCACTTTTATCAACTCGTGTTGATATATTTGATATCAAAAGACACGAGGGTGAGATTCTCTATTTGCAACAAGTGTCTGTTAAACTTTGCCTGTTAACTACAACCCGGAGAGGGGGGGGGGGGGGGGGGGGGGGGGGGGAGTGTTGTGTTTTTTTAGATATTTAGATACAGTACACGGTAATGAGCAGAGTGAAGCAGGCATTGTCACGATAAGTTTAAGTTGTTGTCTACTTGATCCGCGATATGTGTAGCAACGTTTCTTTATAATTTATGGCGACCACTAAAGTGGCCAATTCATTGTCAACATCAGAACGCAATGTTTGGTGACATTTCATTGAGGACGCATGGAATGCAAGGGATCCATGTGAGTGAGTGAGTGGGTTTGTTTAACGCCGCTTTTAAACAGTATTAACAGTATATCACACTCGTTGATAAAGGTGGCAAAAATCCTCGGCAAGCCTCGAATTTTCCACTTTTATCAACTCGTGTTGATATATTTGATATCAAAAGACACTCGGGTGAGATTCTCTATGTATCAAAACATCAGGGTCAGATATATGACTGCCATGTTTCACGTCAAATCCGTGAATGTTATGTATCAAGTCAAACATGTGACAGTCATGTGTTACGTCAAATCTGTGACAGTCAGGTATCAAGTCATATATGTGAATGACAAGTATCAAGTCAAATCTTTGTGTTTCATGTATCAAGTCAAATGTGACTGTCATGTATCAAATTAAATATGTGGACTCTCATGTATCACTGTCATTTATTACGTCAAATCCGTTCCCGTCAATATGTGAACGTCGCGTATGAGTCTAATATATGTGACTGTCATGTTTCGAATCAAATATTTCACTGACACAAATCAAATCAAATCTATGACTGTCATGTATCCAGTCAAATCTATGACTGTCTTATATCTAGGTAAATATTTGATTATCATGAATCAAGTCAAATATGTGACAGCCACGTATCAAGTCAAATCCGTGACTTTCATGTATCGAGGTAAATAAGTGACTCCAATATATAATGTCAAATATGTGACTCTCATGAATCAAGTCATGTCAAACAATTTTGGCTTATCCTGACATTACCCAAACTTCACGTATACCACACCTCACCACAACAGCTAATTGTCATAATCGAGGGGACTGTGGTTCGTGAAAGCAGAGCGACGTTATCAGTCCACAGTGCAAATAAGCATTTTATCCTAGTTATTATGTAATAATGTTTGTATATTTGAAACGATGTAACTACTTAATGGTGATCCAGTTAACGAGAATTCTATGTTTATGTACAGCTGTCTCTTCAACTTTCCAAGAAAGACGTGACTCTTTGACGCCAGTTTTGATTCGACTGGCTAATTACGGTGTCGCCGTAAACGTCACCGTTAAATATTCAGCTCGCAAGCAGGTGACCTCATTATGGTGGCTCAATGGAAATCTGGTTGTAGGTGAGTTATCTCCCTTTTGCTTGTAAAATCTTCTCTTCTACATGCCCATGTCATCAATACCAGATGCCAGGTAGACAGGTATGCCCTCGTCAATGTGGCTCTTGTTCTTTTAGCATGGAACCCATTTATTGTATCAATCATCGCCGTAATATGGTTGTTCATAGTCAAAGGCGACGTACAGTCTCACTCGAATCCCAGAGTCGATGATCATTGGCATCTTGTATCCTGCCCGTGCCCGCAGTTTCACCAAAATGAAGAATTTACGACCTGCAGATCAAATCGGATACCTTCTCGCACACCCCCCCCCCCCCCCCCCCCCCCCCCCCCCCCCCCAACACTATAAAATACGTATGGAGTATTCTCCCCTTTTTCACATCTGTATGATTGGCACAATTTGGCAAATTTTGTCCTGATCACATTTTTCCAGAAATTCTTCCTTCCGGACAGCTACAGCTGAACACGTGTTATAAATACTGATGGACGTTACTCCGATGCGTTTAAAAAAGGACACATATCAGGTGTTTCACTGTTTCAAAAATTCGGAAAATACCTGACGGTCTGTTAGCATATGTTTCATCATTGTGAGTGAATCACAAAATATATACTAAAGTTTCATCAGAAGATTCCTATTTTATTGCCATCTACTAAAACACTGTACTGTTCTCTGTTTAACAGTGTTGCTATAGTAATAAAATCTTCCTTTTTTCTGCTACCAGATGGCGATGATGGTGTCAGAACGGAAGTGAATTACATCTATTACACAACGGAATACAATGGTGTTCGGCGACACTTGAAGACAGCGTCAATACGGATACCATCAGCGTTCAATGTCGAAACACTTCAGATCCAATTCGCAGGCAAATCCATCGACGTCACCATCAGCATCAACGTGGTCACAATAGCATCCGGGAAATCACTACTGGTATGTGTGTGTGTGAGTTTGTAGGGTTTAAGGAATGTTGTAACAGACTTTCAGTTCTGACGCACCGTGCTTTCTTAACGAACGAAGGTCGTAGACGTTAACCACTTTGATAAAATCCACGACAGCGGAATGACTGAAGATTAGGACTTAAGATCACAATTGAGGAGAATCTGGGTTCGGAACAAGCGTTTGTTTGTTTCCTTGCTTGCCGCCACAATGTTAGTGTGTACATGTGGGACCTAGATTTATTATGAATGCGCGTGTGGGTTCGATGATATTGAGGGACAGGTAATTTATATTAAAACCTAATAAATACAAATTTATTTTTAAAATCGTAATTGATTACAGCAATTTTACATTACATTTCAGGAATATATACCCAAGTACGAGTATAAAGTGACTCCAAATTATCGTGTCACCTACAACCCCGGAGACTCCCTTTCATTCCGTTCTTCCTTTAAATCAAAGGACCTTGTCCGTAGTACCTGGGACGGATTTAAAGTGGAGTTCACTAGCATCGATGACTGCATAAGCCCTCCAATAATCCAGATCAAAACAGCCGAGTCAGACCCCGAATTTCTTGCAGTCCACACTCCGAGACGTGAAGATGTTTACCTTCATTATTGGGATTATATTTATGTAGGAAATCCAAAGTACAAAATACGATACTTGAACGTGACCTACAACTCATCCGGCGACCTACCCCGGGGAATACTGAAGCTCACCAATGGGTACAGTTTTACAAGGTCATGCCAATTGTTAGCAGGCATGAAGGTCACCTACATGTTATTCCTCACACCAGCATCTGATTCCTATTTCTTCGCGGAAAAGGCAGTTGTTCTTGACAAAGGGGAGAGAAATTACTATGCTGAAAATGGCGGCGAAGTCGATGTATTGCTCAAGGCTATAGGGGGCAGTGAGGTGAGCGAAATATGGGATGAACCATTGTATGAATATCCAGACATCCGGCTGTCAAGGAAGAATCAGACCATAGAACCAGTTGCTGATATTCAACGTTTCTTCGAAAGAAAGGTTTACTTCCGCTTCCGTCCTGTGACGCCAGAGCAAGCCGGCAGATATTTAGTAGTAGCCACGATGAGGTCTCCAAACGGCACGGGCACGGCAAAAGCTAATTTGAACATCAATGTCCTCAATGTCTGTTGAATTATAACGTTTATCAGGCTAATAAATCTTACTGATTATCAGTTTCCTTAATGAAGGACTGTCCTTTTAGTTGTTACTACAAACTGCTGTATAAATCGAAGTCGTACATTACGTTTATGTACAGAACACCTAATGACAACAACTGATACGGAAATAATGTTTTAACATATAATTTGTAAGTGCCATATTAATTCTATTATTTTATCAAAATATTCAACATTGTACAATGTTACACCACTCTGAAATACATTTTATGTGCTCAGAAAATAAGAAAGAAAAGTTATTTTGAACCACGTGATTCCTCATAATTTCATAAATGTGGCAGCCATTTTGGATTTCAATCGTGAAAACTTCCTCCTAGTAAACCTAGTGGATAGAAATGGTTACGAGGTTGAATTTTATATAAACGATAACCTTTACTGTATATTTCTTTCTGGAACTAACGTTTAATGAACACACTCAAACACATGGCTTGTTTTCAGGAAAACCATACTTATACTCAACCATGTGACAGAATGCGCACATATAAGCTTCGTTTCGTGTTTAAAATATAAGTAGATCGATCAAGACAAGGCATTACTGATAACGGTCTAAAACATAAGTTCACTGTGTCACAAACTGAGCTTGTCATGAGATCCGACTAAAATATATACGCGGACTGGTCATCGTATCCCTTCGATCTGAATTGGTGATCATACTTTCTGGGGTGCCGGCCCCAGAGTTTGAGCCGTGTGTATTTATAAACAGAGTGGGGTGATCGTTTACTCCTCTTTTAGCAGTACTTTAGTTGCATCACTGTCCGGAAGATCCCGAACCAGGGCCTTTGGTATGACACGTGAAAGCTTTAATCACGTAACATTGCAGACCATATGCACTGCATGTCTCTATAAGATGAAACTATCTAACGTCAAATATGATATAAACTTGATAGTACTTTTCAGTATTGTTACATAGAAACAAATGTTGGACTGTTAGCATAATAACCATACACCATCACAAGCATAGGGACTAATAACAGAGTCGAATGATCGACAAGACTTCCTGTCCCCTTGTGATGCCCCCTAAGCCACTCATAAACGCATACACACGTACGCACACGTGTGTCCTCATGCTCTCACCTAAATCACACACAAAATATACGTAACCACATTATACATTATTATATTAGGCGATATATTTACATCTGTTTATTTTTTATGTATATATACATTATTATATTTACAATACTACAACATTTAAATTGCAAAACTTTTTTGTCTGTAAGTAATCAAGAAAAGCAACCTTACTAACGTGAATATTTTACGACTGCTTCAGTGGCAGTAGTTTACTCCTCATCATTTCTTCTTCCATCATCAATTTTTCCTCAATCATCATTACGGAAAGGGTACATGAGCACACACAATCAGCAACACTTTCTCAATATAAGTTTACCCAATATCTTAAGAACTAGAGACGGACTATTAATTATTTACCCACAACATATTATTTACCAGAACATGCAGCAAGTGAACAATTTGTCTTTTAAACCTGAGAACACATTTTTTTCAAGCATCAGGAACAAATCGTTTTTTCTCCATCCACCCCTGAATATCAAATGTGAACCTCTAAAACGGTCCTCTTTCGCCGTAATGTCTCAAAATACTATATTATTTAAGGGATATAATTCTTGATCTTAACAATATCTGTAAGACATTTTATAAAATGTCCGAGTGATAATGATTGCCCCCAAATATTACATGTGTGAACATGCAAGTATCATGTAATTTATCAATCCAATTTTTTTAGCTCCTTTGAATTAATCGAAATTTAATTGAAGAATCTGTAACAGATATTTTAGATAGATCTGTGAAGTCATTTGTTTTCAGTCGCACAGAACCCACAGATATTGTCGTATATTAGCTTTTCTGCAACCATACCTCCTTTGTTTTTATTACAGTGTATTGTGTGTAGAAATATATATTGGTAGTCTGACATTTTGGTATATTTGGTACCTGATCGATATTAGAACAAAAATTATTTTATTTTTGGAACGTTAGACGAGGCTGTATTTTTTTCTACTCTTCTTTGACTTTTCTGTTTCATAGATACCTTTCATTGTCATACCTCCATGTCAGAATGATGGGATCTGATTGGTCCACGTGAACTTGATAAAACCTTGTGTATCCCGCCTATTATACCCTGCCACGTGTAAGTCAGGCTGCTCGTGGGTTTCTGACAAGCAGAATGAATCCCTTATACCCCGTTTCAAAGCAAAAAGTCACACGTTTTTTCCGAGTCAATGGAAGTCACGTGATATAGCGTAAGTTATCCTCAGATCAATCGAACAGCTGTTTTCTATCAATTATGAATTTATTTGAAGTATTTTACAATATCATATTAGTTCGATGCACCCGGACCATGAGGGGCAAATAGGGATTTATGGTGCTGACAAACCTAGAAACAGTATCAGGGTGAACCGGGATAAAAACTTACGATCATATAGGTTTCAGGCACACTCAATGATCGTACAGCCACATCTTAGCCGACTGGAATACCCGTACCCTATTAACACCTTGGTGAAACCCAGGAGTGTAAGTTCAATGCTAACAGACGAAGGATCATTAACATGACGGTGTTGAAATTCTCACCCATAAATATTGGATCCTGGCACTCGCGTATTTTTTTATTATTACCCGTAAGGGTAGAATGAGATGGGTGTAATAACATTCCGATATGTGCATCTTAGCGATTCGCCAAAGCTGACTGGTCAATTGAAGCCATATGGCACAGTGCTTTGCTGTTGAGAAAAATACGATATGACGTCATTCAGTGTTCATGACGTCAAAAATTGATATCACGTCATCTGAACAATAGGATGCCCAATGTGACATTTCTCTTTAGGGTTGACATTTCGTACGTTTTTCTTTGTCTTTTTTTCATTAAATGTCAATGAATATTTGTAAAATAACCTACTCGAAACTCCCTCGTTTATGAAGGATGAAGTCCGCAGCCTATGGATCGGGATTAACACCATTCATTTACTCGGGGTAGATAATTTGTAATTCCGATATTCGAGTACAGGTAGATTATTCTAAATATTTGTAATTGACATTTTTAGTAAAACCCATAAGGGCATGTATATAGTTGAAAATATTTAAGTAATTCTCTCCGAGCCATTATAACAATTTTTCCATTGTTTCCGTTGTTTGGAAAGTCCTATATATTGTTTTAACATACACTCTTCAAAAAAAGAAACGTACAGTCAGAGTCTTAGTACCTTATAAAGTCGATATATTTCATTTAATATCATTGATACAAATATGTAATTTTGGAGCTGGATAGTCACATGTTGTCGTTGTACAAAGGCATTGAAAACTGTTCAATGTCTTGTCACATAAGGTCACAAGGCTGCGCTGAACTCAGTATCTATTGTGACCGCCCCGGGCAGCAATCACGGCTCTGCATCTCCTCGGCACTGACTGGATAAGTGTACGAATTCTGCCCTGCGGAATTCTGCGCCATTCTGCTTATAACCAGTTGTTGGAGTGTCTGCGGCGTGTTCTGACGTTGACGTACACATTGATCGAGTTCATCCCAGAGGTGTTCTATTGGGTTGAGATCTTGAGATCTCGACGGCCAGGGCAAGGCGTTGATGTTGGCATTATGAAGGTAGTCTACCGTGACACGTGTTGTGTGCGGTGGAGCGTTGTCCTGTTGAAACAGCTCCAATTATTGGAAGAAGGTGAGGTTGAAGAATTTGATTCATGTAGCGATTTGCTGTCGAATTTCCCTGAACCACAAGTCAGATCTCATGGTGTAGGAAATGGCCCCCAGAACCATGGCACTACCACCACCGAAATTGGCGAATTTTCGAACACAATGTGGGGCAAACCGCTCATTTCGACGACAATAAATACGTTGTCTTCCATCTCGCCGGAGAAGAAGCAATCGTGATTCATCGCTAAACCACACTCGACTCCAGTTTCATTAATTCCAAGGCTGTAAGGTATGGCACCAACGCAGGCGTCGCTGTCAATGGATCTGTGGCAAAACAGGAACGATAACTGGTCTTCTTGGTCGGATTCATGTCCTCGCGAAGGTTGGTTCCTAACAGTCTGGTCCGATATCCTCCTCAAACCAGTGATGCGTCCTGCAGTCTCCGTGGCTGTGGCATTGCGATGACGTACATGTAGTTGGAACAGTCGAATGTAGCGATCTTGTGCAGGGGTGATAACTCTTGGTCGGCCGGCTCTCGGCTCTGAGATCCGACATGGGTGTATACTTTTTTCTGGCAGTTTCTGTTTAGTTTGTTTGTTAGTTTGTTGTTTAACGCCGCACTCAGCAAAAGTCCAGCTATATGACGGCGGTCTGTAAAATTATCGAGTCTGGACCAGACAATCCAGTGATTGACATCATGCGCATCGATCCAATCAATTGGGATCGATGACATCTATCAACCAAGTCAGTGAGCCTGACCACCTGATCCCGTTAGTCGCCTTTTACGACAAGCATAGTCACCTTTTACGGCAAATATGGCGTGGGTTGCTGAAGACCTATTCTACCCCGGAATCTTCAGGGGGCTTCTGTATAGTAGTGGTATCATGACGTAACAAAGGAACAGTTTCCAACTAAGTGTTTTATTTAACATCACTGTATTTTGTGTAAGTGAAGAAGTTATAACGGCGTGTTCAACTATTGAAGTAATTTATAATGAACATATACACATATTGAAATGTAAATATTAACAGTGCGTGATCATCCATAGAAAAAAGAAGCAGCTTGACACATATTTCACATGTAATAGTAATAAAGTAAGGTAAACATATAAGTAGAAACACATAAAGACTGTCAAAGATGATGTCAATATTCATAAAGAATATAGTAGAAGAAAGTGAGTTAGTTGGTTAAGCACAGCTGCATGATCACTAACATCAGAGCTTGGTGCTGGAGGAAAGCCCGCAGTGATGCAGGCCTACAGCAACGAGAAACACCGAGCATCGGCATATTGCTGACAAACCTGGAAACATAATCCTGGAGGAATCTGGATTTAGAACCCACGATTATAGGTTTCAGGCAGGCACAGGGGACGCAACTCTGCACAGCGAATGTACAGCGTCTCAGCGACTGGGCCGGTGCTGTTACATTTGAAACATCACCGGCAGTACACTGGTCATTAGGAAATTATAACACGCGAAATGACACATATCAATTAACCATTGAAACATATTTGTGGCACATACATGTGGCACAAAATTCAAACGTGTTTTACAGTGGACGCTAAATCATCGAAGGGGCTACACAAGTGATGAAACCCACAGTATTGTGTTAATAAGTGATTCGAACTGGCTGTCAGCGGGCCGATACAGTAAAGCTAAACAAGGGGTTAACCAAAATATCTGTGTAAGGATTGCTAGGCAGATGCTTATCAAACTCCTTTAGTTTAATATTTCAATGTATCCTGTGACGTTTCAGTAAATGATGCAGACCACGACTGAATGACGTAATTTCGCTTCATTATGTATAATTGTTTATGATGCTCAAGGGACCCACCATTGCATAGTTTTCAACACACGACCCAAACAAACCGTTCGAAGATTTTAACTCACAGGTACTTTATATACAGGCCACCAATCATGGCTAGCAAACATGAGGATAAATTAATCTCTGCCCTGTTATCTGAACCAAATTACGTTAGTTCCAAATAAAACGATTTATTATTATTATAAAACCAGCAGCAAACCCCAGAAAATATCATTTGAAATCATTGGGTCTGTCTGTGCTTCTGCGTTCACCGATATACAGACCATATGTTCAGCTTCTGGATTGTTACCACAATCAGTAGCATATTGAGTGAGTGAGTTGGGTTTAACGCCACTTTTAACAGTATTCCAGTTATATCGCGGCGTGTCAGCTTAATGTGGGAGGAAAGCCCGAAGTGATGCAGGTTTCAGACGTTTACCACTTTACACCCCCCACCTTGTTGGGACTTGAAACCGGGCCAACCGCATGACGAGCAAACGCTATAATCACAAGGCTACCCCACCGCCCCTCATATTACCATAATGACTATAGTAAGTTGAGAGAGTCCGGTGTTCTATAACTTCTTTTAAATAGTTTTTCTTCATATTTCCTGACTGCAACACTTTCATTTCCGACAAAATAGTAAATGCTGTTCGATATCCTGCTCTTGGTTTACAGTATTCTCTGGACACATACAAAGATTAATGCAGCGTTAAAGGGGTGGAACGAAAGGTGTACCTATTGTTCAGACAGGAACAATGATTCCCTTAACATATTTGTGTATGTATATACAGCGATCGATGTTAATTGTACACGTGTAAGAAAACGTGTCTCCAGTTACTGCCGATTAAGGCCTGCTCGGTGTGTGTGCCCGAATGTTAGGTTCCAATTTCCATTTAGCGCTGTTAAATCGACAGTTAATTTAATTATACAATGAAGACAGAGTTCATCTCCAAATTATGTATTTACTTATTGCCCTTTATAAGCTGAATGATAACAGACATGCTGGTGAAGGAGCCAGTAACAATACTATTTATCAGCGTTTTCAAAGAAATAGCTTAACCAGTTGACGGATAGTGGTAAATTGTTGAACTGGGTTTAAACAGGTTTTGATTTGAGTCGCGGCGTCTTAGCTTCGTGTGGGCGGAACGCCCGATGTGATGCACGTCACTGGTGTTAATCACGGGTATGATGATGAACACACAAGGAATCATATCAGGGCAAATCTGGATATGACCCCAAAGATCAGCGGATCCTGATACTGTTAAAGTATACAACTCTGCACCACAATACCACCGGGCCAACGGTGTTTCCTTGTTAAAGAGCAATTATCCCGCGATATGCCAAGGAGAGGCACGGGCCACCGAGCCGAGGATGCCCGTGCCTAAAATAAAAACAGAAGATGAGATTGGGTTAAATGGCCGATGGTGTGCAGGTACTAGTGGGCTACTTAGCTGCTAATTGTGTATACCAAAATGCTACCGTTGCCATGGCCACGCGCGTGGCCAACGGCGATTGCAGCTAGCGCTGCTGGCCTGAGACTGCTTCCGCTGTCCGGCCCCCACGGTAGCATATTTAACCGCTACCATTGCTTGGCAACTCCCACGCTGCCAAAAGCAGCTCCACGCTGCTGGCCTAAGTCAGACTACCGCTGCCCGGCCCCAGGTAGCCGGCCAAAGCAGATCCCACTGCCCGGCCCCATTAGCAAAACCATTGTGCGGCTCCCACGCCGCGGACCCAACTGTCAGCTACCGCTTGACAAGACGACTTCCGCCGCCGGGCCAATATACGTGGCAATTGTTTGCCCCAACGTATGTTATTTTACGATTCCCCGGCTGAAAAGTCGGGAAAGACAAGGTTCCCACTGAGAAGCAGGTAACCCCGGAAAGGTTCCCGCTGAAAAGCAGGTAGCCTTAAGCACGAGTATTAATTTGGAAGCAAGTTAATTTGTTACTAGCAGTGTAGCCCACAAGAACCCCGCACACTTCGACATAGTTTATTGTTGAGACAGGTATTGCATATATACATATATACAGCTATAAGGAAGTCATGTTTATTTACATATATCAGAATCGTTTAAGAGTATGTCCATATATACAAGCGCCCTGAAAACCTATTTTACATATGTACAGGTTTATTTACATATATACAATCCGCTCTGCTGGTTCCTGTAATAGAATAATCGCTGAAGAAAAGAAGTGATTAGCATTCCAGGTGAAGAGGACACGTCAGGCTGAAAAGGAAAGAAAAGGAGTGGCAAGCTGGGTGGGTGGGTGGGAAAGCGATTAGGTGCAGTGACACACGTGTGTACTTGGGGAAGGGCTGTTCGCGAATGACCGACTAACAAAGGCGGGATGATGCTTGCGCGGGATTATTCCCCGGGCACGGTGCCGAGTGGTGGCCCGGGGTGATTGAGTTACGGGGGGTGATTGGGTTACAGACGTAATTAGCCCATGGTTTGGATACGCGCGATAAAGTCATTTAGTAGTTAGTACTAAATGTAATTATAAATTTGATGTGTTAATACAGCTTTCACTGTGTTCAATACAGGGATTAACTTTGTTCGATAAACGCTCAACTGTGTTGGATGCATTTTTAAAAATATATCTTGAAATAATTTTGCTAATGGGTAATATGTTGCTAATGCCTGACAACCATTATTCTTATGTCACTTAAAATTACTTGCTACCCGATGTTATGGCTTTTACCTATAAAACATTCAAAAGAATGAAGGGAATTACAAAGTGACCAAATGGTGGCTTTACAACAAAGACCGATCGAAAGTGAACAAATCGGAATTGGTAGGTAAAGAATATGGTACACGTGGCTGCATTGTTCATGGTTCCATTGTTTAGTTGTGTCAAATCGTTTCGACAGCAATCAGTGTCATGTTATCTTTAGAATGTCAAAGTGTTCAATAGTTACCTGATTATTTCAATGTATGCACTACTGAAGCGATATTCACATTGATGGTGCTCTCTTACTATCAAAAGATATGTCAATATACCTGCTAATGATCTGCACATGCCAGTGGCATCATCCATGTCACTTCCCACGGTGCATACGCAGAGGCTGTCTGAACACTCTGTAAAGGGAAGGGAACTGCAGTCACTGTTATCAACGCACGTGCCATCATCTGGGTAAAAAGAACAGTAATTAAGCCAAGGGTTCCTTACATCCTGTTTCACAGCCGTACAACAATTTACAAAAAAATCAGAGAACCGAAATAAGATTCTTTACGACATAATTGCTCCCCAGTCCAGATGAGCAAAAGATTTAGGAACTTGAGGTTTTATGTTAATTCATCGGATAGGAAACATGTAACAAAGTTGGTAAATGAAAAATGAAATGGTACTCGGGCTTACCGATAACATCACATCATGTTTTTCGTCATTGACGCAAACCAAAGTAGAATCAAACATCTTTTCTTCACGAATGAGGGTGAAGAGTTCCCCGCTAATATAATGTCGGGTCCATTCAAGCCATATCGTTGCGGGGGACACCAGCCATGGGCTTAAAACACTGCACGGTACCCATGTGAGGAATCGAACCCAGGTATCCGCAAACGCTTATCCTATATGGCCACCCGACATTGCTCAAACGTCCTACCATCTCGATCCTCGGATCTCTTCTGCCCCGGAATCTCCATGTCATTTGTCTACCTGACATGACCAAGAACTGTCCAGAGCATATATTGCCTATGGAACCAATTTCAAGGATTTACTCTCGTGTACTTACGTGTAGTTGTTGTGGGTGTAGTGGTAGTTGGTACAGTTGTAGTGGAAGTTGGTGCTGGTGTTGTTGTTGGGACGGGTGTTGTAGAAGTTGGTGTTGTAGTAGGTGGAGGTGTTGTAGTAATTGGTGTTGTTGTTGGCGCAGGTGTTGTAGTCGTTGGCGCAGGTGTTGTAGTCGTTGGTGCAGGTGTTGTAGTCGTTGGCGCAAGTGTTGAAGTCGTTGGCGCAGGTGTTGTAGTCGTTGGTGCAGATGTTGTAGTCGTTGGTGCAGATGTTGAAGTCGTTGGAGCAGGTGTTGAAGTCGTTGGTTCTGGTGTTGTAGTTGGTTCAGGTGTTGTAGTTGGTTCAGGTGTTGTCGTCTGTGACGGCGTTGTAGTTGGCGCAGGTGTTGTAATAGTTAGTGTCGGCGTTGTAGTTTGTGCCAGTGTTGAAGTTGGTGCCGGTGTAGTAGTTGCTATAGTAGGATTCGTACCGGTTGATTTGATTGTGTGTGTGTCGACGTGTACACATACATGGTTGGTAGACTTGGTGATAGGGACACACACGTGGTCATATCCACATGGTGCATCAGCGCATGGGTGCGTCTGGAAGAAATTTAAAACTGATGTTTAGAAAGTTTTACAAGGTTTTTTTTCTCTCGGTGAAAAGAACAACTGATATTACCATGCGAAATATACCTGGTCCGAATATACTTTAGTACATTGAGCGCCCTGAAAAAACGATTACATGTTTGGAAAAAACTTTGAAAAGCAGAATTGTTCCCAATGCTGTCATTTCCTCAAAGTAGTCATTCCTTACAATATGGAAAAGTTGTTGTCGCTTTTATTTACAATAAATCGTCTTGTGTTATCCCATAAAAACATTTTATTATTGACAACAATTCGCAAAAAATGTTCCCGTAACACGGATTGGTCACATTATTGAAAACTTAACACGTTATTTTGCAGACTGAAGGTTACATCTTGGAGAGTTCCAGAGATGCCATTTCTTTCATTGGCTTTCAGGTAACCCTAAGATTTACAACAAGGCAAATATCAACAGCTTAATGATGTCAGCCACATTAAATAGTTGTTGTAAACATGCATTTTATCATATTATTTATTGCAATTGTAAACATTCCAAAAGAAGCAGAAAATGATTTATTCAAGTGTCCAGCGGTGTATAGGTGTTATGTAATAGTATACATCGCCCGGCCGACTTGGGGCTACTTTACACTAATAACAATGTTACGGTAAAAAGGTATTAGAAAATACTATAGGACAAGTCACCTGTATACGTGCTTTTACTACTCAAAACAAAAAAACCAAAAAAAACCGACTTCCCAAAATGACCTAAGTCAGTCTGTCATGGCAAGACAGATAAACCATAGTGGCATGAAATAATCTGGCGCTCCCTAACTTCTCCCGATCAGCATAAATCACTTGTCTTAAAATATTCAAATATGATAAACATATAAATATGAGATGTTAAAAGGCAATGTGGTTGTGTGATTATTTGTAGTCATAAGGTCTTCCCTTTACAATGGGTTTAACGCCGCTTTTAACAGTATTCCAGTTATATCACGTGTCAGCTTAATGTGGGAGGAAAGCCCGAAGTGATGCAGGACTCAGACGTTTACCACTTCGGTGGAACCCACGAGCACGGGTATGGTGCTGACAAACATAAAAAAAATAATCGGGAGAACCGAGATTCGAACACAGAAACATAGGTTTATTGGAGGAAAGCAACTCTGCACAGCGACTCGCGGGACCTCAGACGACATGGCCACCAGTCGTGAGGACACAATTTATAGATAACAACTTCTTAACTTCTTTCATACTGTGAAGGTGACGTTTCGGTAGAGATCATTATACCGTTGTAAAGCAAGACTGAATGAGGAACATTGTACAGAATATATACAGAAGGTGGAGGATTAACAGTAACATCAATTGCATATTAACAGTAACAACAACTGCATACATGAGTGGGATAACATGAGTAAGTAATGACAACAGAAGGTCATGAGAACACATCGATCGAAGCCAAAGGATCGAAGCCAATTTAACATGATAAATTTTTAATAGGTGTTGTGAATATTGCTTAATGAGTTCATAGTAGGCTGATGGGGTGAAATAGCCTTGATCTCTGTTGGCTTGTGGCGACGAATGTGGACTGCTACTGTTAGGTTTCTTTAAGTAAATTCAAGGAGGTTGCTGGAGAGCATTTGGACGTTGTCCCAGTTGATGTTGTGATTAGGACAGTTGCTGATATGGTCCAAGATAAGCTGTTATCCATAAATTGTGTCTACTTTGTCATCCGTCAACTTCTAGGTAATGTCTATCAAATAATTCAATATTCACACCTCATTATGAATATAGTCTGAGATTTCCCTGAACTATTATTATTAATCAATATTTATTACATATTTGAAAGAAAGCATACATGTAGGTTAATTCATAAAAAAATCCTGGCACCCACCACGTGTGTCTACATTTTAAATATGACCAGGGAGAACCAGTATTTCTTTAATATAGTCTAGGCGCAAGTCATTTGTAACTATGGACTTGTTCATTAGGCTGTTCACCGAAACGTGTTTTTATCTGGCATATAAACAATTGGATTGGCACAGATCGATCACTCTTTGTTTGGATCACTCTTTGTTTCTGAGGACATGCTGATTGAATATCCAAATTAACCTGCATTCTTTCGTCTAAATGAATCAGTATGTTAAAGAAAATGCTGAGAAGTCTTTCCAGCAAAATGTTTATTGTCATGACATATTAATGCGTATATATTTACCAGTTCGACCAGTTTTTGAACTTGAAATGAATTTACAAATGCAACCTTCTTCAAAATGAACGATTGGGCTTGACATTAGCTACAGAACTTCAGTAGTTTCTATTTCTCCATAAACCACTGCTGGTGGTTTCCTCCTTGAACCAACGCTGGTGGAACAGGAGCAATGTATCACATATTTTACATTTGATATTGACAGTCAAACAGATGGCCACAATTTCGTAGATCTATTTATCGAGTATATAATTGATATAAACGTAGAAAAAGATTTCATTTCTTTCAAATTTGATGAACGAACTAGGCGTTGGAAAGAGAGCATACTTTGCCAATTTAAGTACTTATTAGATATGAACAAATGTCTGTTTACTTTGAATACCGCACAAGGAAAAATATAATGGAATTCGTCGGCAATAGCTGGTAAATTACATAATGTACACACTACATAAGATCTATGTTAGGATAAGTTTTATTCCATACTGAAAGGCATCAGGCCCATAGTACAATTCTGTTTTCGGGAGTGGTTACAGAGCCATTTAACAGGTCATATTCTAATTAACATAGCATGATAAATGAACATTGATAGATTCTTTAGAGTATCTTTATCAGCTGTTGACATGATCGTTGTAAAGTTTTGTAGAGTGGGATGTACATAACAAGGCAGATCAATATATTTTCTTCTAAGGTGGTCGTATGTGGGACACTAACATAAAATGAAACTCATCTTCAATCACATTTAGACCACATTGCTTACATATTCTCAATTCTCTGGCTATGTTTCTATGCCTGCCTAAGATCTATGTTGTCTATGGACCCCATCAACAAAGGCCTGTTAATTATGATTTGTAGTTCTGTATCTTACAATAGGGTAAGGAATCGCTCTTGGGAACGATATATATGAGAAGGAAGTTGTTTCACAGGGAAGGAACCTTTCCTTGAACACCTTTTCGGTGCTCCATTCATATATTTTTTTTATATCTAGTTTGCCCTTGAAGCCAAATGGAATCTGTTTCGTCATATAAACCAGACTGGTTATAGTCTTGCGTCGATGTTTTATGTACTATGCAAAACAAGTAGGGGATATTTTGTTTTAAGGTGAAACTACAGGAATAAACACCAATGTCTGGCAATGAAAGTAAGTTATTTATGTGACAAGAACATTTCCGCAGAAATCAAGCTCCCAAACTGAAACTTGTGATAGTCATGAAACACGTGACCTCAGGGGTGGTATGCCAGATTTATCACTGCCGGTTGTGGGGAAATGCATATTGTTTACTTTGGACACCAAAAGCTCAAAGACACATTATTGAACACATTTAATCATTAAGGAAGCAACATCTTGATCATACGACGTTTTCAACGCGCTCAACGTTTACGTGCCATTGGCATGTTGCAGTTGGATACACGTCATAGTAGTGTTACCCAAACACTGCATGCGTCTCAATACGTCATCAGCAGTATGTACCCAATACTTCCAACACCAAAACATTCATGCCATCAATTACCATCACTCAGTCCTGACTTTTCCCCAAATGAACATGCCTTGCACGTCATTCGTAGACGTCAACGTCCACCCACCTCAATGACCTCGGTGTTGCTTTCACTGATGAGGGGAACAACATGAGTCAAGCTGACATTGAAGCATGCCTTTCGTGCATGTCAGAGGTTGTTTTACTCGATATTAGTGACATTTGCTACAAAAGACAAATTTCGAGTTTGACCCCCGACCTCCTAACGACCTTATGCGCCACCATCTCATCACACCAACCATAAGAACCTATTAGATCTGATCGCCTACTCCCCAGCAGATGTGATCATATCATTTGTCAACACCATATAGATCAAAAGACACGCTTGATGAGTTCCACTATACCCTACATTTTTGTTACAGTATATTTAACAAATTGATAGTGATTGCCTTTCGAACAAGCTAAAATATCGCTACATTTTGATAAAACATGTCAGCTGTTTACCAAGAACTAGAGAAACTTTACTGGATCCCAATGCAGGTTCCCAACATAAAGACAATAATGACAAACCCAGTAAAGACGCTCATGTGACATCTACACTACATGTGACAGCAGACAAATGAAGTTTATATATCAGCAAATCCTGGAATATCAACATCTTCAGATAAAGGTGACAACTGCCTTGATCTCACCAACAAAAACTATCAGTACGACTTTACTTATAATGGTGAACACAGTGATAATGATTTCTCGAAATCTGTGAGACGAAGACAACGAAGCAAAGACAATAATGCACGTGAATCTGGAAGTAAACAAGCTGGATATGAATCCTATCCTATTAAATCCTTAGCTGAAACCTATCGAACTCTTGAAGCATGCGTTCCAACGGATTGTGCTATATAACATTAGAACAGATGAACATTTTGAGACTGTGAAAGATCTTATGTACAACAATGCCCAGGACAAACATGTTTGCGTGACATTTGTGCGACTTATGAAGAAGAGAATGAACTATAACCATCAGGATACCTATACTGTGCAAGTTAACATGGACTTTGATGACTATGAAAATGACGTGGCTGGTAAGTCAAATTCTTGGCCCCCTGACATCAGAAGTAGAGATTATGTACCTAAACACAGAATGGGCTATGACCAGACTGACTCGTACAAATAATAGAAGTTGCGATATTATATTCAGAATGCTTAATCTCATGTCTCTATTTACATTTGTTCAAATGACTCTGTCCTTATTAACATGGAATGTACGATTATATTTGTAACACCTTATCAATGCCAGTTGACCTAGTTGCCTCACAAGAGCACGGGCTATCGTCTGATAAAGT